GCCGCGCGGGGTCCCGGCGGGACGGCCACCCGCGGCCTCGGGCGTGCAGGGCCGGGCAGGGGTGCAGGGGACGCCCTTACCGTTGCTGTCCTTGATGTCCACGGTGGCCTGCGCGTCCAGGAGCAGGGCGAGGAGCTCCAGGCTGCCGCCCAGGGCCGCATGGTGCAGAGCTGAGAACCTGCGGGTGCGAGACGGGCTCAGCCCCGGTCCGGCCCCTGGGACACACCGAGGGAAGCACACAGCTGGCCAGGCTGGGAACTGGGTGTTGGAAGCAGCCAGGGAACCCGCTGGCCCTGGGAACAACTTCTGCTTATGCCCCCAGTGTCTCTGTGACCCCCGTAGCTGCCTCGTTGTCCTGCCCGTGCCAGCAGGGATGCCAGGAGCCCACGGCGGGGAGCGGGGCCAGCAGTGATGAACGGGCCCTGTGTTTCGGGGCTGTGGAGGAGGTCAGTCTGCCCAGAGCCTCTCAGGCCACCACGTGCAGGGCCAGGAGTCCCCAGGGCTGGCGCCTCCTGCCAGCGGCAGCCTGGGGCTCAGATGGCTTCGAAGGTGCCAGGCCGGGGCTCGGACTGATGCGCTGACATGGCCCTTTCTCAACCCCGACAGCACCGATCCGCTCCAAGCCTACCACGACCCCGGGATACTCTCAGACCCCAATTCAGGACCACGGGGCACATTCCGGCATCCCCAGACCTTGCAGCGAGAGCAGCAGCTCTCTGGGACAGGAGGCAGCCCCCATGGCCAGGCGGAGGTGCGCGGAGCCAGGGCCCTGGGCACAGGAAGAGCCGCCTCGCGGCTGGCGCTCCGTGAAAACGCTCCCGCTCCTGGCTCCGACTCCAGAACGCTTCCCTGGGGCCGGGAGTCAGTGCCCAGGGCATCCCGGGGACCGCGGCAGAGCCAGGCTGCTGCCTCCAGCGACACGGCCACCGTGCGGCCCCCGTGCACCGAGCCCAGGTCTGAGCTGCCAATTAAAAACCAAACAAACAAGGGTGGAAGATCCACCACCTCCGTCCTGACCCTGCTGGATTTGCCCAAACGCCAGCCCCGTGCCTCACTGGAACTACATCTGCACTTCTATTCCTGCGTTTTTTTACATTAAGCTACATCTGCAGGGAATTATGTCAAGACAAAGCCCCGCTGCACATTTCAAACCCCGCATCGGCCAGCTCGAACTCGGCACCGACTGACACTTCCTACTGAGTCCTCCAAAGGAAAACATGCAGAAATTAGGTACAACAGTAATGCATAAAACAATGCTAACACGTTATGGGTCAGAGTTAATTCAGCAAGAATAACGTGCTTATTTGTTTTACGGGCCTTTGTGGTTTTCTTAACTCTCAGCACCCAGCTTATTAAGTGCTTGGATTTGGGAAGTGATGAGCTACACAAATATGCTGCGGTCACTCAGCAAGCTCCTCTTTTCTTTCTCTGCCCCCCTGCACGCAGGGATTTTGCTCTTGGGATATGAAACGCAGACACAAGCACGTGCTGCGGCCGAGCGCAGGGGGCACCGCGTTTTACTGCCTTCCTCAGCCGGTGCCCCCGAGGGGGATGCGGAGGAGTTTTGGGAAGGATTCTGCTGTATACACGCACAGGGAGGCACCCCCGAGCCCGGATGCAGGTGGGTTTGGAGCCGGTCCCGGGGAGCAGGGAGCAGCTCCGTCCCGGGATGCTGTTGTGCTCCCCGGGACACAGAACCACCCGGGTACAGGAGGGCTGTGCTGTGACCCCCCCGGCCTCTCCCGAACCACCGCAGAAAGCAGGAGCTGAGCAAGGGTAGCGCTGACCCCGCAGCATCCCCGGGACAGGGCCGCGCGGAACTCACCCGTCCGCATCCTGGTAGTTCACGTTGAGGCGTTTGGCAGATCCCAGGAGCTCTGCGGAGAGAAGGGGAGAGCGTGAGAGGAGGGCACGGGCTTCACA